CTGAAACTGAAATACCTTACCATTAAAGCTGAAGTTTATTTACTCTTTACTTTATTTTTTGGGATGCAACACCAAACACATTAGTTATGGTTATTGATGTATATCCCATTACCTGCAGGCTGCTGCTTCTGGTAAAAATCCTCTCTCCTGTGCCTCCGTCATAGCTCATACTGCCCTGAGTGGCTGTCTTTCAGAGTTTGAATTGTTAGAATTTTAACTACTTTTTTTTTAAAACTTTGTATTGTAAAAGCAATGGCAGTAGAACAACCTATATATCTCTTAGATTGTAAGCTCCAAGGAGCAGGGCCCCCTAAACCTCTTGTATTGAACTGTATTGTTGCTGTATTGTCTCCCGTTATATTGTAAAATGCTGAGCAAACTGTTGGCGCTATATAAATCTGTATAATAATAATAATCTGAGTTGGAATTTATAGACAAAACCAGTGACATTCTTATCCAATGTGCTGTCAGGAAGCCTAAATCTTTATCAACATAATCAGTGTCCTAAATACATACTGTATGTCAGGCATTGCTGTATAATTTTGATTCCAATGCAACCCAGACCACAATATAAGTACCTGAAAATGGTATTGGGCACATCCTTCATATAAAAAGTACAATACTCATAAAAAATTAATGTATAATTTAGGGGTTTCGAAAATGAAATTTCACATTCAGATTTCTTGACATATGAGTAATTACCTGCACTAGCTTCTGTTCAAATACCCATTCAGGTTCAGGAGAGTTAAAAATAAATGTTTCCTCTAAAACTGGTTGGGTGTTAGGTGTGAATACTGCAAAATAAATCAGCATCCTAACTACCTTGTGCTGGTAAGAAGCCGTATCTGAAACTGAAATACCTTACTATTAAAGCTGACGTTTATTTACTCTTTACTTTATTTTTTGGGATGCAACACCAAACACATTAGTTATGGTTATTGATGTATATCCCATTACCTGCAGGCTGCTGCTTCTGGTAAAAATCCTCTCTCCTGTGCCTCCATCATAGCTCATACTGCCCTGAGTGGCTGTCTTTCAGAGTTTTAAAGGTTAAGTGCAGCTGCTGATAAAGAGAAACGTTGTGACATTCACTTGCCTCTTTTTGCCCTCTGTACCATTCATATTTCTCGTATTACTTTTTGGCAACAATGCAATGCATTCTATGAATGGAGAAGGAGTCGAATGACAGGATCTCCACTGTCCATTCACAGAATGAATTGCATTGTGGGATAATAGTAATAGAGGCAATATAAATGGTGGAGAGAGCAGAAGGGGGTGAGCGAGCGACACACTTTTCTCAATAGCAATGGTTGCTATTAACCTACACAGCTCCAGAAGACAGCAGCTCGAAGCAGTATCTGGCAGATCTGATGAAGGCACTGAATGGAAGATTTTCACCAGAACAGTCACCTGCAGCTAATAGGATACATACTGCTATATATAACTAATGTGCTTTGTGCTGTTTGCCAAAGCAAAAAAAAATTTCAACTTTAAATACAGAACAAACATATTTTACCAGCTGTAGGCTTTCTATAATGGCCTTTTCGCAGTCCCTCACTCTGCATAATTATTGGAAAAACTAAAGAGTATACACTGTACAATTAGATTGTTATGTGGGTTGCTTTTTATTCATAACTGTACACCTACGTACAGCTGCCTAGGTTCCTGGGGCCCAATCTGCAACCTGAGGGCCACATGTAGCCATTTGGTACTTGTTGTGTGGCTTGTAAAGGCAGTGTTCTCTAGCAGCTCCAAAATATTATGGAGGAAATTTACTAAAACTGGAAAGTGCAAAATCTTTTGCAGGTATGCATGATAGCCAATCAGCTTCTAAATTTGGCTTGTTCAATTAAGCTTTGACAATAAAACTGGAAGCTGATCGATTTCTATGCACAGCTGCACAGGATTTGGCACTCTCCAATTTTGGTAAATCAACCCCTATGTGTCCAGTCATGCCTTCTGTGGCATGTTTCCAGTCTCTAACCACCCCTGAAGCATGTTGGCACTCTGTCACTATCTCCAGTTATATGTCTGCAGTGTCTGACAGTCTACTGTAGTGTTACCTACACTGAATATTATGTGCTGCCTTTTTTGTGATAGCAGGGGCTGCAGTTGGGGTTTCCTATTTTTCATATGTTGACTATTTCTGGCCTAGAGTAAGAAATTATCCGGGAGAACAGAGCTTTCCCACCTCTTTATAGAGATAGCAATGACTATCCTGCTCTATACATCACCTGTTTTCCAGCGATTTATAGTCACACATTTATACTTTGCTACACATTTATTACTTTACTGCTACTATAATATGTGTGACTAAAGCTGGCCATATATTCTGCAATTTTCTTGTTCAATTTCCTTTAGATTTACCTTGGTTTTGGTAACTCTAAAGGAAAATTGTATAATGTATGGCCAGTCTTAGATGGAAGATCTACAAACAAAACATTTTCAGTAACAAGGATATGGAAGAATTGGTGATGAAGTCAATTGGTGATATTTTTGTCCACTAATCCAATGGCACATAGAAAGTGTGTCAACATGCAGATAGTGCTGGGAAAACATGCAAAACCAATATCAGTTGGTCAAAATGTTCTTCCCCTTTCTGAAAAGGAAGTTCCTATATTGTCAATTATTTCCCAACAAGCAGAAAAATTTATGTCTGTAACAATAAACATTATCATTGCACTATTATTTACATTTGACAGGTTTATGGAGGTCCCAGAAGACAACTATTGCTTTAAAGGGGAGCTCCAGGCTCCCCCAAAAATGTAAAAGTCAGCAGCTACAAATACTATAGTTGCTGACTTTTAATATAGGGACACTTACCTGTCCAGGGATCCATCACAGTCCTCACCCAAGTCAATTCTTCAGGTTTCTAAGCTGAACAACATCTCAACATTACTAGCCTGGTCAAACTATTTGAAATGTTTTCGTTGTTCTTAGTGGAATAGTGTCCCCATCCATACCTCCATGAAAGGCAGTTGTTACACCAGAGTGTGTATAAGAGGTTCTTGGCAGTGTTTATTGTCACTGATGTAAGAAAGGATTGGTATTAGCTCAAAACAAAATGAGAGTCTGGTGGCTATTCAAGGTCTACCTAAATACACAGCCAGTTTGCACAGATTTCTCTAGTCAACTACTCCTGACTTAACCCATTTCAGTCTTTAATTACCCCCCCCCCCATCCTCAAGACATGAAGGGTGTAGCGAGTGAGCAATCTCCAACAATTTGCTAAACCGCCTTACTACTCGCCAGTTTATTAACCACTTGCCCTCCAGAGGATTTACCCCCCCCCCCCCTCCCTTCCTGACCAGACCAGTTTTTTGTGATACAATTATGACAAATGTGCGGTCATACAATGTTGCACCCAAATTAAATTTATGTCCTTTTTTTCCATAAATGGAGCTTTCTTTTGGTGGTATTTGATCACCTGTGCATTTTTTATTTTTTGCACTATAAACAAACAAAGACAGAATTTTGAGAAAAAAAAAACTGTTTTTTTGACTTTTTGCTATTAAACATGTCCAGTAAAAAAATAAAAAAAAAAATCAAATTTTGCCATAAATTTTGTCCAAAATGTATTCTGCCACAGGTCTTTGCTAAAAAAAAATCCCAATACGTGTAAATTAATTGGTTTACGTGAAAGTTAGAGCATCTACAAATGGCGGTATATATACTGGAATTTTATTTATTTTTTTATACTAGTAATGGCGGCGATCAGCAACTAATAGAGGGACTGCGGCGGGCATTCTGACACTGGGGGGAACTGACTAACTGTCACTGACATCCCCACTGATACTAATACAGTGATCAGTGCTAATAAAAAGCACTGGCACTGTACTAATGGCACTGGGCAGGAAGGAGTTAACATGTGAGGTGATCAAAGGGTTAACTGTGTGCTGTTTTACTGTGTGCTGTGTGTGTCTTTCACTGTGTCAGCACATTGCTTTGCATTGCTCTGCTATGCAGAGCAATACAAAGCAATATGCAAGAGTTGACAGGGGAAAGATCTGTATTTTTTACATACAGGTCTCTCCCCCGTCAGTGATACTCGGTGATCGCTGGGTGCCAGCGGGGAATCACCGGCCGAGACCTGGTGATCGACAGCTGGGGCCTCCAATGGCAGTGCGGGTACCTGGAAATGCAAAATCACGTATATATACATGATTTTGCACAGCCCTGTCACCCTGTAGCAGTATTTCTGCTATAGGGCAGCAGAAAAATGGTTAAATAAACCACCGTAGTCTAGGTGGCAGGTAAACCCAATCTAAGATGCTGCCCTGGACCGAGTAGGACAGTTTGTCACAGTGTGTACGTGGGAGATACTTAACTTGGATTAGAGGACATAGAGTCTTTTCCTGTGCTGCAGTGAACATTTAGCTTGCCATAGCTGTTGTGAACAGACGCGGAAGCTGCATATTAGTGCCACTTTTGGAAAACTTTTCACTGTTACAAACACTGTACACACAAGCTGAAAAAATGTAAGCTAAACTCCAGGAATTCAGCAACTTTGCAAAAAGTGCTGACATACTATGAGTTAAGTCCAATGAGTTGCATGCCAGCTCCTGGACTTTCCTCACTTATTTACTTAGAACAGGTTTATGGAGCTTGCAGAATCCAACTATTGCTTTCATTTGGTTGCTATGCCCACCCCCTCTCTTCCTGCTGCCCAATCACAATAGCCTATGTATTGTGTGACCTCATTCACACAATACATAGGCTTCTGTAAATGAGAAGCAGAGGGGAGGGGCAGAGCTGCTCTGTGTGCTTCTCTCCTCTCACAGCCCTGAGTGTCTCTTACAGGAGTGCCATAAACCTGTCAGATGTAAATACTAGAAATAAGTACAGGAGGTGGCATGCACCCCACTGGACTTAACTCATAGTATGATTGCACATTTTATAAAGTGGCTGAATTCCTGAAATTTAGCTTTAAATTAATTTAGACTAGATAAACCCAGAGAAAATAGTGATAAACCTTTTCTGTATTTTTTTTTCTTTCATATTTAGGACAGTTTTGGCATATATCAGACCTTCACCTGGATTTCTCTTATCACCTCACTAAAGATCATACCAAAGTGTGTTTGTCCTCTAAGGGTGCCAACGCCTCAAACCCTGGAATTTATGGTGACTTTCTATGTGATTCGCCATATGGACTCATTTTATCAGCCATTCAGTACATAAAAGATTCAAAGGAAAAAGTTGACTTTATGATATGGACTGGGTAAGATATGGACTGGCTAATGTATCTATATCTTTTATGTGGTTTAATTATAAAGATAGCAAAGAAAAGCGTCAATAGCAGTAGTGACAACTCAGCTGCAGATGTGATGTTTCTAAAGCAGGTTAGAATTTTAAAGCTAATAATGTAAAGGGAATTTATAATGTTTCATCTATCTTTTCTTTCTTTATAATGTTCAAAATGATGAAAAATTGAATGGTATTCCTTTTATTCACCTTTTATCAAATAAAAGTAAAAGCTTGCATATGAAGACTTTATATAGCGAGGGGTTAGCATCAAATGGAAAGCCGAAGTACCACATTCAGCTCACAGAAGATACACTATTGTCAGCAGCAAAACAAAGCTCAGGTCTCTGTCTGTGCTTTATTGTATGGTTTTCACATCTCAACAGCCTAACAGACACTTTGAGCTAATAGCAAATGGTATAACATAACTTAAAGCAGAAAACAAATCTGCTCATCTAAGCACTAACTGAACACATTTTAACCGCCACTAAATCAAATATTTAGCAATTCTAATCTTTGTACAACAAAGCAAAATGTATCTTGCAGTTTAAACACAGAAGATTTCAACATCTTTTGACGTGTCTCAGCAACATTTACAAACCCTACTACAAATGCAATCAGTCTCCCAAGTTCTAAAAACATATTACCACTTGTGGGATGGTGATTAAGGAACCAACTCAACTTGAAAGTAGACTTCTTACCCATCTTTCCATGGTCTATAACACACAAAACCACATCCTGAGAGATGTATACCTTCTCTCCAGCACTTCCCAGCTTTTCCAGCACTCTTTATACCATTCAGATTCTACTACATGCTACCTCTAATTGTAAAGTTTTGGGCCATGTACCTTTAGTAGTGAGAAAAGTTTTATAAAATGTCTTCACTGGGTAGACAAAAGCACATATTGTTTAACAAATTACACAAGTCTTTTATGACCATAGACTTGAAGGATATACTCTGATCAATCTTTGAATATTTCAGTGCTGATGAAAATGTAAAATTACTCCTTGGGAGCAATATATCTTGAAGAACTGCCCTAAGAAATTTATAAACTTGGCATGGTCTCGTCTTTAAGATTTAATGGGAAATTTGGCATTATATTGTGTATTCAGATTCCAGGCCATCATAATTCACAGACTGTAAGATTCTCAGCAGACTTAACAAGTGTAAAACAAACAATAATTCCCACACCAACAAGCCTGCAACAAAACCGAATTGCCCCTGTCTAACAGTTCATGTTAAAAACAACCTAAGCCTATCCATTACTCTATGTGCTTCAGCTTGGGAGACTCTCCACATTATAGTTAGAACTGCAGTACACTGTGGTGCCTTGACACGGTCACTGCAGCTTACACATATATTTGCAAATGTGTGCAAACTAAATCCCTTTTTTTGTAACATGAACAGGGTCAATTCTGTTTTGTTGCAGGCTGACTGGTAAATGAGCTGAAAATTTTTGTTTATTTTTTACATGCGTTGCCTTTACATGTGTTCCCTGCTGCAAAGGCTAGGTATAGGTTGGGGTAGTTGCCATTTGTCTGTACTGTTGGTGAATTGGTGCATGGATGCACTGGATACCTTTATCTGCCATTGTGCTATTGCTGGGTGTCCCATGCATCCCTGTGTGTTTTAGGAGGGGTGGGCTCCATCCAGGCACACCTGCCCTTAACCTATCCATTACTCTATGTGCTCCAACTTGCAAGACTCTAAAAATTATAGAGTTAGGACTGCAGTACATTGGGGGTGCCTTGATGTGGCCACTGCAGCTTACACATATATTTGCAAATATGTGCAAATAAAACCCCTTGTTTTAACGTGAACTGTTAGAGAGGGTCAATTTTACAGGCTGGCTGGTAAGTGAGCTGGGAATTTTTGTTTGTTTTTGACATGCATTGCCTGTTCATATGTGTTCCTTGCTGCAAAAGCTAGTTCTAAGTTGGAGTGGTTGCCATTTGTTTGTAGACTTAACAAGTCTGCATCTATACATTTGGGAACATTACAAGAAATTATAGTTCACCAATTTACCTGATTCGTGATGGCACATACTGTATATAATTATAAAGTTAATAAACACAGATATGTAACATGTCTTATTTCCATTTTTTCTACAGGGATAGTCCCCCTCATGTTCCTGTAAATGAACTATCTACAAAAATAGTAATAGAAGTAATTAAAAACATGACAGCCACCATTCGTACACTCTTACCAGACATGCTTGTATTTCCTGCACTTGGCAACCATGACTACTGGCCACAGGTATGTTTTATATTATTAAATATAATAGAAATTTAATTCTAACACATCATGAATCGAGAACCACTAATAAATGAACTCTTCATAAAACAAAAAAATTACAAATATTTTACCTTCACAGATACAAGTACGGTATACTATATCTCTTACAGTACAAGGGTGACAGCTGTTGATTGGTTTGCAGTTTGTCAATAAAGTGCAAGGGGGGATTTTAATGCCCAACTCTGGGCTTACCTCTCCCAATCGTTCTCTGTAATATTTGCCTTTTCTGAAGTTTTCAGGCCAATAATGTGATGTCACTGGATGCTGTAAGGCTCATGATGCCCTACACTCACAGTCTGTCCTCAGTATTTCAGATTAATTGTACAGTATGTCTTTAAATCCAGAATACTGAGGACATCTTGAAGAAAAGGGAGTCCTGTGGTGGACAGCTGAGGTGAGGATTTCAGCAAGAACGATTTTAATTTCTTTACACCTACAGTGGGGCATTTGTTATTTGGGTGCAATATGGTGTGGTGACATTGGACACACAGAGTTGCAACAATGTATTGTGGGAATTGCAAAATAGTACAACAAACCAGCAGGGAGCACTCATGACAGTCAGAGCAGAGAGTCAGCAGTGAATAGGCCCAAGCTGCAGACAGCACCTGTCCAGGGAGCAGAGTGCAGCCTGGCTGGTCCAACCCAAAGAGAGCTTGGTCAGATGTAGATATAAGACCTAAGCTTTCCCTCCTCCTCCTCATGAACCTCTCCTTGTTACTTTTGCTGTCCCTGATAGATGGGTATGCTCTCCCTACACTAGCCAACTTGCAATTGCACACCAAAATCCTGGGGCAGGGGATGAAAAAGACTGCATGACCCAAGATGGTTGCAAGGGTCACCTGGATGCAGGACAGCCAACCGGATTGCTGTCACAGGGGACCGAGGGAATCATAGAAAACCCAGTTTCTCCTGATTTCCTCCTCCAACTGCATTGCTGTTCCAGGCAAACACCACCTGCAGTGGAGAATGTAGACTGCACCTGCTTTCACTATAAATGATACAGGTACTGTATATTCATCCCAACATTCTATTGAAAATGTTGCACACAAATTATAACTCAATTTCAGGTTCCCACAAAACCTGCAGTTTTGGTATATAAGCAGGCAACCTAAATACTCCTGGGCAACAGTGTCCAATTTTGCGAAACGGAAGGGAAAGTTCCTTTCTTACCCCACTGTGCAGCTAATTCAATTCTCTAGATTATTTAGTTATTGCAACTTTGAACATTGTGGGAAAACCATCCACTCCATTTTTAATAGTTATTGATTTTCGCATTTGTACCTTATTTAGTAGGACATTTCATATTCCACAATCAACCCTTACTATGGTAAAGAACTCTTTCATAAGGTACAACTTTCAGCATAATTCCAGATAACTAACGTTTTTTAAAGGTTTCTAGCATTTGGTAATGCCAGTGATTTACTGGTAAGCCATTTTTTTTTCTTAACATGCTTATTAAATTCCAAATCATAAAATAGGATTACTCCGGTTTGAAGTCACATAGGTCATGCAAGAGAATACTTATTGTATACAGACATGATTGTCATTGTAACCACTAGATGTCACTTGAGACTATGCACATAGTATTGCAGGACCCCCTGAAAGTTCCTAGGGTCTGTCGGGCTATCTCTCTTGTGTAAATACAGTAGTGGTCTTGGATTTCAGTTTATTTGCAAATTTCCATTATGTTACACTTAACACAGATATTTTTGACACCTTACCCTGTCTGTCCATTTAATGATAGAAGCCCCCATTACCAGCCATTGCTGCAATGTTATTAAAAAATACAGTAAACGCTTCTTACCTTCTTCCTCGCAATCTTCGTTACAGTGTACACTGAGCCAACAAGATGATATTCCAGCACTTTTTTGTCAATGGAGCATGAAATAAGAGAAAACTCCAAATGTGACAGCCATAAAAGACGAACAGAGGTTTTTTCATATCCCATTCCCATCCCAAAGCTAAAAAAAATTGTGGCTGGATACCAAAAGTCACAGGAAACTTAGAAAGGGTACACAAATGGGAAACTGCATAGGGTTGTACACTCCAATAACATCCACCATACCATAACAACATAACAGCCACAAAGTAAACACATGACAAAGGTTGTAGGAAAACTTTAGACCCCATTATTGGGCTTAAATACATTTTAATTATAAGCTCCAAGGAGCAGGGCCCTCCTATCCCTCTTGTATTGAACTGTATTGTTGCTGTTTTGTCTCCTGTTATATTGTACAGCGCTGAGCAAACTGTTGGCGCTATATAAATCCTGTATAATAATAATAATAATAATTATTATTTTATTTTAATAAGTTTCAACCTTTATTACCCAAGAGAACCAGTATTAAAGCCCAACTTTGGATAGATTAAAACCGTGCCTTGCGGTGGGGCTGTCTCTGTAATTAAGGGTTAATTGCTTGTTTTGTCTAGGGGAGAGGATAAACAGCTTACCTGATCCTCTGCTCTCCTGGCAAGCATTGCAACCCCACAATCCAGAGGTGGACTGTCCCTCGAAGTCCTCACATCCAGAGTAGGGCTATAGACCCTGCTCTGATCTTGGAGACATCAGGCCATAGACCAGTGGAGCATGGGGGTGCAGAAGTTGCAGGGATCGGTCTAATTATAGGGAAGAGTGGAGGATTGGGTAAGTATATCTCTTTTTACTGTTTCCCTAGACCAAAACAAGCAACCAACACTAACAGTAGTGGCACAGATCCACTACAACAGATAATTTTGTTATTTGCCCAGAGTTGGGCTGTAACGCTTAGCAGACCAACATGCTCATTCCAGCCATAGATGGATCCATCTATGGGCAGGCTATTTGTACCCAAGTCTTTCCATTGATCCATCTATTGGCTTGGGTACAACCAGCCTGGTGGAAATGTTTTCTTGTGATCACTGTGGGTGACTATAGCTGTTAGCAGTAATCACAGGCAGGGCTCCCCACTGGCAGAACACAATAGCTCTGTGGGAGGGATTCCCCATGAACACTGACTGTGTTGATGGGGAATTGAGCAATTTTTGTTCCTGCAACCCATGGTGGCAGGAAAGAAAATCAAGTCATCTATAACTTGCTTTAGTCACCAAGACTCAAGCAGCAATATCTTACACCAGCTAAAATGACAGTTTACCCACCACTGTCCATCCACAAACAAGACATAAACAGCAAACCAGCCACACAGAGTCATTTTATATGATTGTTAAAGTAGTTGTAAAGGTAGGAGGTTTTTTTACCTTCATGCATTGTATGTATGAATGAAAAAAACCTTCTGTGTGCTGCTCTCCGCACAGCCGCCCCTAATATTCACCTTAGCCCCCTCTTGATCCAATGATGTGCACAGGAGCTTCAGCTGTCCTGGGACTCAATTACATCCAGTGAGCCAATGAGGAGAGAGCGGGGGGGGCGCACAGAGCCGTGACTCTGAGTCTGATGGAGCCAGGCTCTCCATAGCAAGCATCTTGCTATTTGGGGCACTGGTAAAGGGAGGAAGAGCAAGGAGTGCTGGTAGGGGACCCAAAAAGAAGAGGATTGAGGCTGCCCTGTGCAAAACCATTGCACAGAGCAAGTAAGTATGACATGTTTGTCATTAAAAAAAAAAAATTAAATTGAGCCTGTAATACCACATCAAATGATCCTTTAGATATTCTGATCCTATTTTCGACTGGAGATTAAATGAGTCCTATATAAAATTGTTCTGTGTATGGTCACCATGGGGGTTATTTACTAAAACTGGAGAGTTTAAAATCTGGTGCAGCTCTGCATAGAAACCAATCAGCTTCCATGTTTTAATGTCAAAGCTTAATTGAACAAGCTGACATTAGAAGCTGATTGGCTACCATGCACAGCTGCTCCAGATTCTGAGTGCACCAGTTTTAGTAAATCACCCCCACAGTCAGTTTCTTGATCAGCCACATATACAGTTGAGTAAAGTGAGGATCTACTTAAATATTCCATTGAAATAATATCTAGTCAGGTAGACCCATATGCAAAAAATGATGAAAGAGCTCAAAATGTTACTGTGTGTGGTCATCTTACATTAACTGCTGTTACCTAATGTTTGTTTTAAGGGCACTTTGCTCTTTTTCATTTACTTTTTTCGCTTTGCTGTCCCCAGTACCATGGGAAGGAGGTGTTCTGTACACACTGCTGTGAGTTAGAAGTGGTAATGAGATCTTGAGGGAAAGGAACAAGGAAGATCAGTTACTTTTTTAAAATTATGCAATTATGTTGAATCCTGTTAATCCTGTTCTCTCCCTTGCCTGATATGCAATAAATTATATTGACAGAAATTTAAAGTCAGCTCCAACTTTGCCTTGGTTATAGGAATTGTATAGTAATACATTGTATGGAGACTTTATAGTGATAAGTGTGTCACAGTTATTACACCTCTCAAAATAAAAAGCAAAATGTACAATAACCATCACACTTTTTACAAATATTAAATAATATCCATCATGCCGGAAAATTTGTGCAAATAACTGATCATCAATCACCATATATGCCAGTAAACCTTAAAGTGAAACTACACTGCAACTGAACACCACAAATCAAAAACGCAATTAAATTCATTTTTAATATTCACAGCAAGCTCCCCCATCCATCCATGTCTCCAAGCTTTTTTTCTGCTGAGAAATCACTTTGAAAACCACCCCCTTAGCATTTCTGGTCATAGCCATCTTAAGTAAGGGCAAAGGGGTAAAGGGTACCTGTGATTCTTTGCATCGCAGTGCGACAATATTAACTATACATGCAGAATTTGACAGGGAGCACCACTTGTTAAACTCAACCATGTAAGTTAATAGGGCTGTAAACACTTGGTTCGCACTTGCAATGCATTTCTGCATTGCAAAGTTCTCATTTAGTAATTAAAAAAAAAATTAAACAAAAAAAAAAAAAGGCATCAGGAGGCACCAGCGTCACCACCTGATTGCCTGCAAACCTCTTTTCACCATATAGCAGA